GAGGTCCCAGGTTCGATTCCCGGGCCGGGAGAAATATTTGTATGGCCTACATTTATTATATATATATTTATACTACATTTGTTATATATTTATTATATATTTCGTGAGTTTGGGTGTGTTCATGGTGGCACCCGCGACACAGGGTTTCCCTAGTGTTGTATTTGTTTTACCACATTTCCTCCTCACGTCATCAATGATCACAGTTTTGTAAGTTCCTAACCTTAAACGCAAGTGCGGAGGTTTGAAAACTTCCTCCTTTCTAAGTACCTATATATATAATACGATTCAGGAAAGTTTGTTTATTTTTTTTGTAATTAATTACTAGTAATTACTTAAGAGATTTATTGAAATGCCTTCTTGCGAGCTGCAGTAATTTTTCTTATGCTTCCTGAATCGATGTCATTGTACCTACTAATACAACTTTTTTCTGTACTTATTATATTGTACCCAACTGCAATCGTAATTGAGAGTTCAGTGTAGCACAAAACTGTTTAATAATCGCCTATCCTAAACGATTTTAAAAAGTTTAAAGTCTATAAAGAGCTGATGATGGTGTTCGCAGGAGTGCGTTAGGAAAGTAGAGCGCAAGGAAGCATGCGTAGTCGGCGTGACAGGCTCGTCCAATTGGTCGAGATTGCGTGTTTCCGTCGTAGTCACTTCCGGTCGATAACAGCAAGACCACAAGCAAGTGCGGTCAATGTACTAATTCAATATGTCGTCTTAACAGAGTTCTCTTATATTTTAGCTTACGTATATGCTCTTTTGTAGACAAGTTTATTTTATGTTTTATCCGCTTAATCTCAAACAAACTTGAAGGAGTAAGTTGATCTTGAATGCGAATTTTGGCATTGATCGAGCACGATTTTTGTGGAACGGGTGTTTAGCCATAGTCCATTGGATTCCATTGGCCATATAACGGAAATATTATTTCATCTTTGTCTTAGTTTTCGTGTTTTTTGGGCATTGTATTTTGAATAAGTAAGAAGTATAACATTGTATTTCGTCTTGTAATTCCATAGATATATAATATTATTTTTGTGATTCCTTTGATACGAACGTGAACTAGAAGGTATTGCAACATGACAATATGATCCTGTTGTGCAACTGGTTAGTCACAATGTATATGTAAAATGAGATCTTTTGCTTGAAAATAATCAATAATAATAATAATAGTAATAATAATAATAATTATTATTATTATTGTATTTATTTTAAACTCTCGCCTCTCCCAAGGCCTAAAAGATTATTATTATTATTATTATTGTTATTACTACCTACCACTACTACTACTATTACTACTACTACTACTACTACTATTACTACCACTATTATTGTTATTAGTATTATTAGATGGTCTCATATTAAAGTGTAACGGCCACAATTTACTATCCACTTGTTGTTTTTTTCACAGTATACAGTATAGTTAAATTCCACTCGAATTTACAAAAAAAACATTACAAGTTCACACTCTGAATAGAGAGAGTTAATTGAAATAATGTACGACGATTATGTAGATTACTGTAATTCGATATTAGACAGCATTAGTAATAAAAGTTGTATTCATAAATGAAACTAAATAGGTTTTTCTACGGTATGTGACATTAAACAAAAGCAAGATTTTGGTAGTAAATATCTGCTTCACCTTCCGTGCTCCAGGTCACCCTAACTGAAGGAAATACCTGAGAGTGGCGAGGCGCAGCAAAGCGCCGGAAGTGGTGGCCGTTCCCACGGACATTCATCCGTTACTTCACCTCATACCGTCTCTTTCACCCTCAAATCCGACTGACAGCACTTTCTAGAAACCATGAGGTTTATTCATTTTCAAAGCAATACCTTATATCGTGTGTTTGAGTTGTTGAGACACTGTTATGTGCCATATGTGCAACAGGCAATATTATAGAGATTGTATAATTCTTGAATCCAATCACAAATGTGCATTACTACCTACCTAACGTCTCTTCTATAAATATGCACAACTATTGTAATTTACAAATTTGAGAAGACTATCAAATAATCTATGCAAGATACAACGTAAAAGGACAAACTCAAATAGTAGCGCGAATGGCCCGTTTGATAAGTCTACATAGGATTTCCCAACATTCGTAAATTGGTTAATGTTCGTCGTTTCGTTAATTTACGTATAACTATGTATCTACACGAGTTTAATGAGAGGGTCTTATTTGTTTGTACTTCTACATGTCTTGGAAAGTTTTCCGATTAAGGGCCTAATATACAGTAGGTACTACCTAAGTAACTAAGTAGTAGCACAGTAGTAGGTAGTTAGCATCTCCACAACCCCTTCCTATCAAATCATATGTAACTATGTACTTACATTTGAGTTCGTGTTCGTGGGTATAAATCCATGCTATTTGAGACCAATTACATTACAATAGTAAACTTTTATGAAACATGTAACTTGACTAGTTTACACGTCGAATTTGATACTCAACAAGCGGTCGATTGAATGATGTCTTTGTTACCGAGTGGAAGGTTTGGTAGACGTCATAGCCGCTTTGTCCGACCAACTGATCTCATTGTTTAGTCTACGAGACACGACACCAAATTGCTCTACGGAGCAGTTCGATGATGTGTTCTCCTTTGGCCACAGGTGGAGAATAGCGAAAATAAATAATTATCGAAAGCAAAAATTTGTATTACGGAAGTTCTTGCCCGCTGCTTATGTTAATTTTCTTAGTTTTTTATTTTTTATTCACCGTCTTCGTTGTTGTAGAATGTTCAATACTATCAGTGATTAAGTCTACTATTTCGGTTTCTATTGGTAAAATTGTATAAAAATTCTGCGGTGACAATTTTTTGTTATTATATATAAATTTATAAATTTCGACATGCAGTCAAAGAAGAAACGATGCTTATTTTGAACTAAGCCACCTACTGAACCTGTGGTATCTCTGTTTATCTTAAAGCACTTATCGAATGCGAGACCGCCAGTAAAATAATGTACAGTATTTGTCATCCCTTTTGAGTGTGACATTGCCTAACTTCTGACCACAAACTCAGAAAAGAACATGTTCTTACTGCATATTTTAAATGGTAACAATGTGATTTGTAAGAACGGCGGTGGGCGGTTGGCGGAACGCCGCAGCGATCGTGCAAGTCGCACCGGATCTCCGGCCGGTGCGCCTGAGTCGGAAGCGTGCAAGACTTCCGCTCCTGTAGGAGGCACTGTCACGCGCCGCGGCTCACGCACAACCGTGTCTTACTGGTCAAATTCCATCTTCAAACCGTCCTTCAATAATAAATTCGAGAACATCTTTTATCACTCGCCAAAAATCATTGAACTACAGAAACTAAAAGTACATTAATTTATTGAGTATTTTGGTGTTTTACCACCATGATATTCATGGCATGGCAGCAGACACTGGTTTGAGTCCAGTCAGATCCAAGATTTTTTTCTTTGTATTGTTCGATGTTGGTAACTAAAGTATATTTATTATTTTGTTATATACAAAGTTTATTATCGATTGGGAGTTATGAAGGTTATTAGGTAATCTGAGAGTAAAATCTCCAGCGGGATTATAATGTTACTTGAGAGGAATTTCGTCATAGAACGAAAATTTTGTTTTTATTACTGCGGGTGTGAGTGTGAGGTTAATGCAGATAGATACATACGTCCCCCCCGTCTTTGCTCACCTTGTCGTGGTGGGGGGGCTCAGTAGCTGCAGGCAATCCAGCCTGTAGTGAAGCTAAGAAGCAAACGGAGGACCCTTCCGCGTGTCCCTCTGATGAGCAGAAGGCACAGCGGAGCGGCCATGTGGGTACTCAGATTGAGTATCTGCCCGAGGAGCTGAGACAGGTTCGTTGTCGTGAGACACGCCCGCCAGATATGGTGGGTACCGGTTCCCCGGGACGGATTTGTCCAACGGAGATAAAAGCACATATTTGCTCTACTAGCAAAAGGCGACTCCTTTTGCTCTGCGCGACACGTCTGTCTTCGGACGGACCTAGGCCTTAGCCAACGTCGGGCAACCCGTAATCCCACATTGAGTGGGGCCGGAGGCTCACCTCACTGAGAGGAGAGCCGCGAGGAAGAAAACCTCTATAAAAATCACCCCAATCCCAAGTTCTGACGCCCGGCGACGGGATGAGTGACTGGAGGGTATCCAGTCTCTAGGGCGTCCCACAGGGGAGTTGAACCCCTTTAACCCCTTTACCGCTGACTCCCGTGAACACGACTCTGGACACCGATACTGCTAGTGTATTGAGCGTAGACGAATTGGAGGTGGCGGCGGGAACCCCGAAGGCGCCCGCCAACACCAACGACCCTGACAAGAACACGTCGGAGCAGGCTGAGCGCCTGCGAGATGACTTGGGAAGGTTCGCGCGTCCTAGGACACCGACACCGAGTGCTGTTGGAGAGAGCGGCGAAGAGGAGTCCGACTGCTCCTTCATGTCGCTCGCCTCAGCTGCATCTGCGACGTCAGCTCGCGGCCGTACCAGAAAGCGGGCTAAGCCGCCTTCAGCGGAGACATCGGCCCCAAAGAGAAGGCAACAGAAAGGCCCAGGCGACGAGGAAGCAGTCTTGGATCCGTCTGTCGCTCCACGGCATACGCGGTCCAAATTATCGCTTCCTAGCAAGGACGATCTGCTGAAGGAGATGGAGGCGCTTCCGACGACCGAGGTCGGATTGCGCATTAAGCAACACCTTGACACGGTCGAGAAAGGTGGTGGGGCGCAAAGCGCGAAGCAGGCTGGCACAGGAAGCCTTGCAATCCAAGGCTATGCCGCCGCAGCTGCCACGACACAAAAAGACGGCTACGCCTCCGAGGCCTCCGACCACTGCCGCCATAACGGTGACGGTGCCAGATGGCTCATCACTGAGCTATGCCGCAGTGATGGCCGCCGCTAAAGAGCGGGTCAAGTTGACTGACTGCGGCATACAGGCGCCGGGAGTGCGCATTAAGCGTGCACAGACCGGGGGCATAATAATAGAGGTCCCCGGTCCAGACAGCACTTCCAAGGCCGTGGCCTTAGAAGAAAAGATGAGGCAGGCTCTCTCGGACTTGACCGTGCATATAGCGCGTCCAGTCAAGTCCGGAGAGATTAAGGTGACGGGCCTCGATGAGGCCGTTACCCCGGAGCAGATTGCCCCAGCGATTGCGGGCACCGGAGGCTGCGCAATGAGCGACGTACGAGCAGGAGAGCTCCGTCGCTCACGCAGCGGTATGTTCTCCGCATGGGTCCGCTGCCCCCTCACGGCGGTGCGCAAGCTGCACGCAGCGAAACACATCGTCGTGTCAAACTGGATCTCCGCAAAAGTGGAGGTCCTGGAGGTCCGCCCCATGCGGTGTTACCGCTGCCTGGAGCCGGGGCACGTCGGACGACAGTGCCCGTCAGAAAATAACAGAAGCGACTGCTGCTTCACATGTGGCCAGAAAGGCCACAAGGCGGAGGACCAAGTGCCCGGTCTGTGCGGACCTTGGCAGGCCTGCCAATCATAGACTGGGCACTAAGCAGTGCTCTCCCCCGAAAAGGAAGAGGAGGAGAAAGAAGAGCTCTCCCCAAACCCCCGGCGATGGGCCGTCGCAGCCACAGGCGGCTGCGTCGACTGAACAGAGCACGAGCTCTGCTCCAGCGGAGATCTTGGAGACGTAACATTCGCTCAGATGTGCGTTCTCCAATGCAACCTGAACCACACGCGAGGGGCGCAGAGCCATCTTCTGCAGACCCTCGGTGAGCTTCGGGTTGCCCTGGCCGTGGTGACGGAGCCATATCGAGTACCGGACCATCCTAAATGGTTCGGTGACTCCGCGGGCTCCGTCGCCATCCACTGGAGAGGCAGAGAGGAGGATCCACACTGCACCCAGCTCGAACAAGGGCAGGGCTTTGTCGCAGTGGAATGGGGTTCTCTCGCCGTCGTGTGCTGCTATGTCTCCCCCAACGTGTCCCTCGCCGCTTACGAGGGATACTTGGACGGGGTGGCAAACTGCGTTCCCAGATGTCATCCTCGTCCCGTCATTGTCCTGGGCGACTTCAACGCTCGCTCTAGAGCATGGGGCGACGTCCGGGATAGTGTCCGAGGGGAGATAATACAGGGTTTGGTCACACCGACTGACGGGCGTCCGGCGTTGCAGAGCCATGCTCAATGGCGTGCAGCGCCGCATGGCCATAAGGATCGCACGAGGATACCGCACCGTATCCTTTGACGCGGCGACTGTCCTGGCGCGTTTTCCCCCGCTGGACATTCTGGCAGAGATAGACGCGCGTATTTACACGCGCCTCCGCCAGGCGGAAGAAGCTGCGCCGCCGGAAGTGCGGTGGCAGGAGCGCCGACGGTCGTTCGAGAAGTGGCGCGAGAGGCTGGAACAGCCGTGGATCTCGCGCCAGCGCGCCGTCGGCGCGATCCTGCCCAACCTCGAAGTCTGGTTGAGCCAGCGAAAGTGCGTCACCACGTTCCGACTGACACAGATACTCACCGGGCACGGATGCTTCGGTGAGTATCTGAATCGGATCGGACGCGAGTCGACGACGCAGTGCCACCACTGTGAGAGGGACCAGGATTCCGCCCAGCACACGCTGGACGAGTGCCCCGCATGGGCCTCCGAGCGGAACATCCTGGTTACCCGGATCGGGCGAGATCTCTCTCCGCCAGGCATAGTAGCGGCTATGTTGGCGGATCAAGAGTCCCATGAGGCAGTGGTCTCCTTCTGTGAAGCGGTGATGCTTCAGAAGGAGGTCGCCGAGCGTGATCGGGAGAGGGCCGATCCCGCTCGGCGGCGGTGTACCTTTGCGACTGCGGGCGATCGGAGCGGAGCTCCGTTCGCCAGTAAGTTAGGCAGCCGCGAGAAGGACGACGGGGCGGTGTGGCCCGCTTCGTCGAGAGGAGAGGAGGGGGAGGACGTAGCTCCTCCTAGGTGCTGGGGGGGTTCCGGTGCGCAAAGTCGATCCCGGCTCCTTCCCACTAGAGCACCCGAGAAGACCACCGTGGGGTTTTAGCCGGTAGAAGTCCGGCATAACCTCCCGCTGCCCCCGCGGCGGAGAGGTATCCTCGGAGGATTTCCCCACGCAAAAAAAAAGATAGATACATACGTGACGCACCGCGCCGCCTTAAAATCCGTCGCGTTTTTATCGTCAAGGTACGTGCGGTGTAAGTGGGAAATCACATAAACTTATAGATAACAAAAATACGGATGATTTACATGAGAGCTCACCGCGCTCTAAAGGACAATCCACACACATCAGGGCCTTGCCCGGGACGTGGCCGGGACGTGCTAGTTTGTATGAACTGCGGGCCCGTCCCGGCCCCGGCCCGGCAACGAACATGTGTGAACGAGTTCATACAAAATATACGCAACGATATTTTTTTGAGCCCCTGGCGGACCACGGCCCGTTCACGTCCCGGGCACGGCCCGGACATGTGTGCATAGACCATAATTCTGTATGAATCAATAATCAACCAATGGTATCTTTAAGTATGTAAAAACGCATGACATAATATGAATACTTCCTTCATCCTATAAAAATACGACTTTTAAGCTTTTATGACTAACTTTGAAAGTCACTTTTGACATTACAAATTCTACTCAAAGTTTTTTTCCATCCTCTAAGCCTTAGAATATGAAACTCTAAGCTCAAAGTGCACTGTTTCATAGATTGAAAGATGACAGAAAAATACTCTCATATTCTTTTTGGATTGTTTTGGGCAAGAACAGAAAAATTGTACCTATGCTTAAAATTTGTGTGCAAAATTTGCTGTGTAATTTAATTACCAACTAACTACTTATACATTTCAAAATGTGTATGCAATCAAGTTCAGTTGACGTCATTGCGGAAGATAAAGAAAAATTACCTCCAGTGATTATTTTAAATCGACGTCTTAAAATAGAGCCAAAAGAAGTAAAGAAATTTACTATATCTATATCTATACAATATGTAGTTATAACCATCATTAAAAATAGTCAATTTAGGTACATACTAAAGTAAGCAACAACTTTTTGATGTTACAACAGTATAATGTATATTTATAAATACAAAAGTACCTACCTACGTAAATAAAACTGTAAATTGGTATATTTCAACCAATCTTAATATTAATGGTAGATATGTTTATCAACGTCGTCTGTAACAGTTTCAACAGCGACGGCAATCTCCACTCTGGAAGCAGCTAATTTAATTTCTACGTACCTGTTACTACAACTATTGCGTATATTTCTAGCTACCAGTGACTAGAATATTACCCAAAGAAAAAAAGGAGGAAGTCCGTAAAATAGGGGCACTTATGTGGCTTAGCTACCAAAAGCCCATACACCCTATACCTCGCCGTCCCATATATCTCACCTGGTGGCCCGAAGAATTGTCCTTTAAACTTAATAAGAAACCCACACTTCAAAGGTTGAGGTAAGAGTTAGTAACTTCCAGTGTAATGTCAAATAGGAACACATTTTGATGGTTTTAAAAGTAATGTCAGTTTGTACATACGTAATATGATCAATTCAATAAATATGATCCCATTCCAAATAACTTACTATTTAATTTAGTAAAAAAAGTATTTTATTTGAATATGAAGTACTAGATAATTTTAAGTAGACAGACACGTCTCTAAGAACGATGCCACACAATGCGTTGCGTCGGCGTTGCAACGCCTGAGCAGTGACGCCGCGTTGTGTTACATATAAATTACAACGACACGCCACACGGGCGTTGCGTCGGAACGCGTGCGCATCGGACAAGAGGCGAGGAGAGGAATCGGAGAGGGGTGCTGCAGTGCGAAAGGAATCTGTGTTGCGTTGCGACACCGCAACACTCGTGTGGCACTCGGTGCGCTGAAATCGTAGCGTTGCGTTTCGACGACGCAACGCCCGTGTGTCATCGCTCTAACATGTTTATTTTTCGTCAGTATACAAAACCGGAGTTCTCATTCAGTCCAAATACACTGCTGCGGACTGCGGTGGAACGACAAAGCAAAGTTGGGAGCAAAGTGGCATTGCTTTCCTCGCACAAACTTCGTGGTGGCTCCAGGACTCATTCGTCCTCTCTACATTGGAGCAAAACCTCAAAATGAATCACCGGTAAAACACGCTTGCTTCGTAGTTCAACTTGCTTCTACATACCTAAGAGACCATGTCATAGGTTTTTTCGCAGTCACCGTAAAAGTTGAGTTTATGAATTATAACGATGAATTAGAAAATGTTGAGTTGATGAAATATAACTATGAACAATAGCAAAAAAATTTGCCCTCACTTTCATCACAGCTACCATACATCTCGATAATATTAAATTAAATTGGGAACTGACTTATTTCTATTACGAAAACTTTATAGTTGATATTAAAATTAGTCTCCAGATATAAATCTGAGACTAATTTGGGTCCTGATTACATTTTTATGACACATGTAAATTACGTAAATAGGATTTATTGTTAATTACTTTTATTAGGTAATCAAAGGAAAAATGGAAAAATTAATGCCATTAAAAAGAGCAGTGAACTTTTTACTAATGATAATTTTAGAAACTCATTTCACTTCTCCTTCATATAATTAAATGGTCGGTAATGTTATTTCCTTTCTGGTTCTGAGTAATATGGCTATAAGTGGATTTCCTCATGGGTTACGTCAGAAATGTTTTTGAAATAGCCAAGAGGTTCGCCCCTTGAAATACCAGTAAGGAGTTACAACTTCACAAGCGATATGTTTGTAGCGCGAACGCGCATATGTGTAATATTATATTAGGCCTAATAATCTCGTCGATGACTCACTCCTTTGTGATCAGTCGAGATAAATTGAGACCTATGCCGCCAGAGATATCTAACCAATATGCCATGACAAATGTACTGGATTTTTTATTCTATGTCTGACAAATCGAAGTGACTTGCTTGGTATTTCTTGTATTTTTCTAACGTCGAGGTAGTGTCATTAAATGGTAGTACTATTAATTAGAATTTTTTTCGTTGATTATCCTGAGGATAACGAAGCATATACGCTGCGTAATGGCTCGAGAAATAGATTTTACGATTGCGCGCCGTGGCGTGGCGGTGCGATATTTACGCGTGTTTACACTTAGACGATTTTATAGGCTCAACGACACCGTCTCTGTGCCGCATTAACATATAAGGAGCACTTTAACATCTCTTTCGTTTAAGGCAGTTCCACGGCTGTATTTTGAATTTACTACATCATTGAGTCAGTTGAGAAACATGTCGGAAAGGAAGAAAATAGTAACTTATCTTCGATTTTATTCGTTCTTATTTTAATTTTATTACCACTTAATAGTATTTTCCCAGCTCGTTATGATGTCATCAGTATCAGAGACCATCTTGTAATAGTGCATTTTACTACAATGTACTACGTTGAGATAAAAATGAGAAGTACGATCAATTTAATTCAAATGAGACGTCTTAAATTTTGTTCACATTCTCAATCTATATTTAAAGTAAGTTAATATTTTTTTGTTAATATACAGAATATTTGTAACTTTTAAATCATTTAACCCGTGCCTTTAATTA